TGTAAAGGCTGAGGATGGGACTAAAAATATTAGAACAAGACATTCCATTTTGTTCTATCATGTCTTGCTCTAAAATACTACTACCTAAGGCTGGAGATATAATCATTTTCACACGGTACTGCAGAGAAACGCACGGTTTCGCCACATAAATTCCCGCTTTTACGCACTGGATCTCGGTCAAGTAAGCAAACAACTCCGAAGACAAGCAGATCGACAACTCCAAACCCAAGCAGACCAATCACACCAAGTCCTTCTAATGCAGGAGAAAGGGTAAGTGGAAGGCTTTTGTTTCTTCACCTATTGCAATAACATGAGTGACATGATCAAAGTTGTATGCTTCCTCACTACATTAGTAATAATTTCTGTAGTTTCTTTAACTGATTCTCCATATATGTTTCTAGCAGTACCCTCCGGAGCTGCACAAATCAGTTTCGATGCGCTTACCTGCTCAAAGAGACAATGGCAAAGATGTAGAACAATACCCTACTAAAAGTAAACGTCTTCTAAAGGCATTACTAAGCAGGCGCAAGTCTAAGAAGGATGAAATGCTATATACATACTTGGATGAGTATTGATACAGGAAAATTTGTAGAAAGCAAAGGGTGCTATGGAATATTGGAAACAGCTCAATTTTGCTTGCTAGTTTTACACATTTGGCTTAATAGGTTGCTGTTCTTTACCATTTCAAATGAAGATTTATTATATGGTAATTTTTTGCTTTTTCCTTTGTTTTAATTAATGTAAGCTTCCAAAACTTGTGTGATATTGTAATTGTTCAAACTTTATTTTTAAGGATGGGTGATACTTTTATATAATTAAGTAAATTTACAACCTTTGTTCTTTCCTTTTATGCTATAATAACTAGAAGAAACAGGTTGCAGTTGGCAAATTGTAGAACAATACTAAAAGTAAAGTTTTGCTGAAGTTTAAGGTCTTGCGAAGTTGGTGCAAGTCAAGAAGTACGAAATGCTATATGCATGCATATTTAGATGAATAAGGATACAGCATAAAAAGCAAGGGAAAGATGCCATACAAGATTGGCAACTAAATGTTGCATTTCCTAGTTACATGACCCCTACCTTTATACATTTGGTTTAATAGGTTGCATTTCTTTCCCATTTCTAACAAGATTTATACGTCAATTTTCTCCAAAATTATCTTGTGTAAGCACCCACTAGGTGAAAGCATCATGTATTGCGTCACTCTACTATTAAATGAGTGAACCCACACACACTAAATGTAATGAATATAAGAAAACGATCTCAAGTGACAATGATTCTAATGAAGACAGATGTCTAGCTTGCTTGTAAATGGATGAGAGAACATATAATGTTTGAAGTTACAGTACATTTTTAAGAATCAAACAAACAAACAAAAGACAAGTAAATGTTACAACTCCATTCCATGACCAAATTCTTCTATTGTTTTCGTGGCTAATGTAAGGACATCTACAAATGCACTGAAAGATGCTCGAAGAAATCTAGCTTCTGTTGCCTCAAAGTGCCTGAATGAGATGGATTGAAAGCGTAGAAGAAAAAGTTAACATTACATTATTTAGAGGAACCCTTGAAGCTGAATTAACTAATGACAGCAGAATATTTATTATTACAGGTAGAAATGCTGCAAATAAGTACAGAATCAAATTGTTCCACATTCCAGATTATACATTCAAAATTTTGGACAAGAATGATAAATTTCATGGCAATGAAGCCAAACATGATGCCAAATTAACAATTACAGAATATTGAAGTTAGAACATTGGTCACTGCAGTTATGAATAATATGATTAAGACTCCATAGGATACTCACACTGAAAGCTTTTCTTTGGAAAGTGTGATGAGTCTTTTCACTTTGTCCGGTTGCAGCTGCAAAATACATGAATTGGATTAGAAAACAAGTATACAAGTGAGACATCACGTCTTGAACCAAAACTTTAACATTAGTTTATGAGCTTTTTTTACTTATAAACTCTTTTAGTCCTCTCCACATATCCGATAATGATATGAAAATTTCATATCTTAGGACAATACCTCCTTATCAATGATCAGGGCTGCATACTAATGGAACCATTCTCCTCAGATCCAAAATCTACTTCCAAGACACTGTAATTGTCAATAATTTGGTCACATAAATGAAAGGGTACATGATTCACATAGAATATTATTGTTTTACATATACGTAAGTAACAATCAGAAAATGTGTGAGGTGAAATAAGTAAAGAATTGATGATCAACATAACAATAGAGTTTAAAGAAGGAAAAGAAAGATTGACCACGTGAATTGCCATTCAGATTCAGCGTATGGTTCTACAGCCATGGCGTTTCTTCAGAGAACAAGAATCTGCTAAGGGTTTTTTCTAACTCCATCACGATTTTCTTATGCGCCGTTGGATCAATCCCACGTACTATAGTTTGACACGCGTTTTGGACTTTAACACAAATGGCTTTAAACAACAGTAATAATGTTTCTAACTGTATTGTTTAGGCAACATTATGATACGCACGTGGGTAGCACCAATAATGTGTGGAATATGGAATGCAGATCAATTTTACCATTTTTGGTGTTTCAAATGTGTTTTAATCCAATTAAACACTGCTTTAAAAATAAAAATAAAAAAATAGAAAATAATTTTTTATATTATTTGATACAACGTAATTGGTTTGTGATGGATTTTACTTGAGAAAACTTGTAAAGAACTTTTTCAACCCCAAATAGTTAGAAATATGGAACATTGGTCATAATTATTTCATGAAAAATGAACATATCCTAAAAAGCAAATCATACCTCTCTACATTTAGAATATAAATATTTAACTAATAATAAAACCATTCTTTGTACACAATGTCTTCCTTAATATACACAACTAGCAGGTCTGAATGGACAAGGAATATAACCATGATAACATCATATACACTTCTAGTGAATCTTATAAGTTACAACAGAACTCAAACTCCATGAGACATTGCATGATCACATGACAACTTAACTTAGTCAGTGTCTCAACCAAGAAGATGTCATTTACAGTGGAGGAAACATCCATCCCATGGTCCAACCAAGAAGCAAACCAGCACCAGCAAGACCTAAACCCACCACGAATGCGATGGCGCATTTTCCGATCCCACATCTTCTGCTCTTACTTCCCTTCCTCTTCTCAGCTCTGCCGCGACTCCTTTTAAGCTGCATTCCCCGGTACGGTAAGAAATTTAACAAGGGCTGGTTTTTGTTTCTGAGTTGAAGGCAAAGGTTTTCAAGCTGCATTATATAGAGCCACTGCTTGTAAGCAAAGAGTTGTGAAGCCTGTCTGAAAAATAGACTCAGGATATGTTCCTTCTCATTGTAGGCTTGTTGTGCTGCCTTTTCAGCCTCTCTTGCTCTTGTTTGAGAATGACACAATGCTTCCATCAGCTCAATCATGCTTTTGTTCTCAGAATTTTTTGGGTAGTCCTTTTTGCTTGAACCAGAATCTTTGCTCTGGCTGGAACTGAATACATGTTATGTTACTTATCAGAAGGCTACAATATTTTTCTTGTTGAAAAACAATGTGTTTCATAAGTCAGGAATTCAATATACCGAACACAACAATTAAAACTTATCTCAAACTTCCAAGGATGTGTGGAGAATCTGAGAAATTAAGTCCAATTTATGCAGCTACAACATTACTTTTAACTTATGAATTCAACATAATGAATGACAACATGTCATATACATGTATATAATATAAGGGAACCTTGCATAGTTTTAAGAGGTTGGGTAAATGCAACCTAATGATTTGTAACTGAAACTAGGGGTGAGGTTGGAGAGTAGTGGTTAAGATTTAGGAGGTTGGCAGAGTGACGGGAGCGGGAAGAAGCGCCATCACAGTTTCTAGAGGTATAAGGAAAATAAAATAGTTTTCAAATCCATTCAATGTAGTAATAATGAAGAGGTCCTGTCTTTTTTCTTGAAAACAGCCAGCTCATTCGGGTTTGAATTATTATCTCATGGGAACAGTGGAAGGTTTGGCACTTTGGTGCATGAGATAACTAGCTTCAATCCTCAGTAAATAGCATTGGAAAGAACATCCATAAGGTACTGTAATGTCATTAGCACATGTAAATAACACCCCTAAGCACTACTCAGACCTGGCACTAGAATACTTTAAATATGAAGAGGTATCAATTTTATTCCGAAAAAATGGATCGTGATGGAAAGAAGATTATAGTGCTCAGCAAAAGAAAAAATGTAAAGTATTGGGCTACAGCATTACCTGAAATTCCTGCTTGAATCCTGAAATGAACAATCAGAAATGGGTGTTCCAGATGCATAACTATCTGCATTGGAAAAAACATTCTCAGGTTTCTGATTTAAAGATGTTGCCAGAGTCTTATCATGGTCAACACCCTTAGAGTAGAGGGGTCTCTTCCTAAAATGCCTAGTCTGGGGCTGAGGAAGATCACAGTTCTCAATATGCTCAAGTGACTTCTGAGCAACCAAAGAAGCCAACTCATCCTTTCCAGCATTGCGCCACCACGGCCCAGTTTTCTCAGTGCCCATATAGCTTGATTCCAGATCAGATGATGTCATTTTAGATTTTTCTGAGACCGTGAAATCGGTAATATCAGAGTCCATAAAATGACCGTCTAAAAAATAGAATTCCCCCTGATCTTTCTTCTTAGGAGTTAAATGTATATCATTATTCAGCGCAGCTTCAATTTTTGGCATTTTGGTGTCATTTTTGTTTTTCATATATGTAGGAGAAACATTCCATGACTTCTGTACAGCTTTATTAGACCCTCCGGTGTAAGAAAGATCGTCAAAGTTATTGACATTATCATGAAGAAATCCTTCATAGACAGCATCCAGCTCGGAATCCCAGGAATTCAGATGTTGACATGTATAATTTGCTTCATCCTCCAGGTTGGTTTTCACATGTAGCCACCATTTCATGTCTGGTAACTTATCAGCATTTTCATTCTGTGGCGTGCAACCCAAGTTTGCATGAATATGATCGTTCATAGAATTACTTGGTGGCCGATCGGATCCCAATTTTTTCGAAACTGATGATTGGTGGTCACAATAATTGTGAAGCACCCTGAAATCTTGGGTGAAACGACTAGCTCCATAACCAGCCCTCCGTTCTACTGATGCCATTACTTCTTGATCTCTAATTGATTGCCTATGTTAAGAGGCAACATTTGATGGAGCTGGCATCTGTTGAATCGGTAAAACGTAGGCTAAAAACGTTAGATGTTATATGTGCAGATCCCAAACTCAAATGTTCATGAAATGCTAATCCCAATTCGCTAGCATATAAACATACAAAAAAATTGGTAGAAGACCAACAAATTATCAGTCTTTAAATTTACCCGAAAAAGGCATACGAAAGCAAAAGGAATAAAGGTAAAGTAGATTCATCAACCGTAATAGTTGTCACCAGAGTCCACATAAAAACCATCGTAGAATGCCAATTGATGACTATATTTATATTTCAAAATCGATGGAGAAAATAATTTTTATCCTAATTAATAAGAATAGGTTATTGGCTACACATAATGAGCACAAGGAAATAAAACATTAGACCATAATGAAGCATGAGATCAAGCAGGAACACAAGACCAAAAGGTCAATGGCTCATAAAAATTGAATGGCCCATTCTCATAAAAATCACTTGGAGGGTCAAAACTCAGTTTGGAGTTTTTTGAAAAAACTTTTCGCTTCTAGTTCATCAAAACTCGGGGTTAAGTTTTCGACTATTACTTTGACCAGAATAATACCTTTCAAAAATTGATTTCTGCTCAGCCTTTATCAGCTTCCATACAACCAATTAAGTAATTAACTAACTATACACTTTGACAAGTCAGTTTCACTTTGATTAACACTATCTAAACAGTATTCATTCTACAAAAACCATTGTTAATAATAAAGCATCCAAACATAAATTAGTTACTAAAAACCCACTTTTAATCAAAATCAAATTTGCAAAACTCAGTGTTGCAAACAGATCTAAAACACAGCCTAAGTAATATTTCTAATTATAAAGCATCCAAACAAAAATTAGTTACTTAAAACCCACTTTTAATCAAAATCAAATTGCAAAACTCTGTTGCAAACAGATCCAAAACACACCAAAAGTAATATCTCTGCAACAGAAGTGCAGGAATCTAACATGAACTTACTTTCTTTGCCTTTTTCCCCAAAAAAGGAATCCAACAAAGCAAACACTTACTCATAAAAAACAATTATCCAAATCAGGGTAAGGAATCATCATAAAAACCCAAAATTGGCTGCTTCTGAGTAATATTACTGATCAAAAGAAGCCAACTTTAAATATGCATTTGGAACAAAATTGACTATTGCAACATAAGGAACATATTCATTTTGAATATGCAAAACTTTGCTTAGAAATTTACATTGTTGCTCAAAAGAAGCAACTGGGGTCATAGCAAATATCCCAAAGAAACCAACAATTCATGAAACTGCTAAATCCCAGAAAAGGAGAGCAAAGAAAATAATAGCAGTATTAAAAAAAGACCTCAAAGTACAATAGGCTCATACTACTAGATAGAGCGGTTATTTTCAGGATTTGAATTCAATATCTTCCGATTACAAGACAATCAACTTTAATCTTCCGATTACAAGACAATCAACTTTACTGTTACGCGAGCAAAATAGATACAAGAGATTGATATAATAGAAAAACAAACAAGGAAAGACATGGAATCTAGGATTATAAACAGAAAAAGGGAGAAAATTTAGGCTTGCCTTGCGTAATATCTGAACATAAATTCCTTGTTCATAGACAGAAACATAACATGACTTTTTTGTAAGAGAATCTTAATATGGACACATGTACAAATGAATCTTCTACTACTCACACATCATTATCCAATGCTCCTTTCTCACGTCTCTCTTTATAGATTGATAGATAAAATAAGTGAGTTCAGTTAATATTAAAATAATGTAATGTGAAAACGTGTAACAAGGAAATTGAAGAATGGTGCAAGTGGCGTTACTCATCTTGTAACTTACATTAAAATATCAACTTTTATTATTGGCTTATTTTATTCATTTCAGTTTAATTTTATGAAATTTTATCACATTTATTACTTAGTAAAAAGTATGAATATCAATTGGTGGAAAATTGTTCTACCTCAATTAAAGAATTTGAATTTGAGTCCCTATTTCATTTGATAGAAAGAGATGTGATTTTCTTATATTCTAGGCTATTTGTCATAAATAAGAATCAATTATGTAGTTAAAATACAAATTAACAAATTTTTTAATAATTTGATTGTTTTTTATTAGGGATGAATATAATGATATAAAATATTGTGTATGAATGAATCATGTTTTGGATAGAGCATGATTTTATATATGATTAGTGATAAATATGATTTAGAGAGAGAAAATCACATTGATTATTTTCTCTCTTTTCCATTTCAAACTCTCTTATTTACATATGTTTGCCCTCTAATTTTGGGTGTAATAAGGCTTAACTTTTAAATATGTTAAGTAGGCTTTTCATGATTTTGCATTTTTTCAAGAATTGTTAGAAAATACATTTTATTTGGAGTTTAATTTTCATACAAACCAAATAAAAACATGGTAGTTATGTGAAAATTCTCCTCCATTTTTTAAAGTAAGGGTATATTAATTCATAAACCATTTTATTAGTTAAAGTCACAATAGAGTTTATTCAATTTAAAAGTAAAGTGACATTTGAAACGTTATTTTTGCATTTGTGTTACAATCTTGATGAGTCATGTACATAATAATAATATCCTTTGTTGCATGCCCTTGGCACTCCTTGATTAATCTTGTCGTTGAATTATTGTCCCGTGTTATGTTCTATATGGTGTCATCTCAATAAATATATGTTTTTTTTCAGATATATGTTAATTCTCTTTACTATATTTGTGTTTGTAGTGTCCCCAAAGATGGGGAATTTGGGTTATCATCCTTCATTGGGAGGTGGAGAGTAACTGTCATTCAACTTGCAACCTTTTAACTAACTTTGTCAATTATTTATAGGGAGGGATCCACTTACTCCAAGAATAAGCGAAAAAGACTTACTCCTCATCTTAGCAATTCAATCTTGGAAAATCCAATGGTTTAAATATACTCAAAAATTCAAACCATTGGATTTCCCAAAAATGAATGATCATGATGTGTAGTACGTCTTTTCCACTTATTCTTGGAGTAAGTGGACTTAGTAAACACACTATATCTTATAACTTTTAAAAAGTAACTTAGTATTAAAAAATTCAATAAATTGATTACCACTTTTATTATTTGAAATATTAAAAGTTACATTCTTATCTCTAACTATATTATTTTAAGTTATTTTCATACTTCTAAAACTAGTTTTATATAATAACTTTAATTTAACAAGCTACCTACATAGATATAAGTTTTCACCTACCAACAAGTGTTGGTTTAGTGGTATAAAATCTACTAAAACTATAGATAGACTAAAATATCAATGATTCAATTTTTGTAAGTAACACTTATTGGGAGAGGCGATACAATTACATATATTAAAAATGGTTATTTCGAGTAAGATAAGAAAATATTTTGATAACAAATTTATCACCTACCTTCACATCTATTAGTTACTTTCTCCTAGCATAATAATACCTCTTCTCCTAGCTTGTCCTTTCAACTCTTTTCCCCCTTTCTCCTTTCCATGTTGGCTTTTATTCCTTTGAGAATTGCATCCATCAATGTTACTTATTTTGTGTAATTAGTTACCTTTTTCCTTATAAGACAACAACAAAGAAAAGATGCCTTACATTGACATCTAAACCATCCATTTAATTTGCTACTTCTTCTTACACGCCACTCTCTTATTTTTAGGTTTTAATTTAATCATCTAATAAAATATCAATTTACTCATGTCTTTTTCTAATGTTTCTTGATTTTTACCATTTTGTTACATTAGTGTTAAATTTATACTTAGGACAAATTCATCAAAGATTCCTTTTCTACTCTCAGAATCTACATTATAATAAACATTACAAAAATAGAGGACTAAATTGACACTTTATTTTGTTAGAGGATCAAATTAAAACCTAAAAATTAGATAAATGACCAAAACAAAACAATATTTATATTTTATTATGTCTTGCTCTGTCCTTTAGCTTTTTAATGGTTGAAAATTTTAATCTGCAAATTATATTAAGCAATAAGCATGAAGGGTGGATTAAAAACAGCAAACATTACATTAATATTAATACCTTTTATGGATGAATCATTTGCTTATACTTTTTCCCAAGCACAGATAATCTTCTCTGCATGGGAAATTTTTCATCTTTTCTCCCTAACTTATCCAAGTAGAATACAATTTTTTTAAGAGTGAACATAACTTCCTCACTCTCATGTCCATATTCTTTCTCTTGAATACTCAGGACCCTTTTAAGCTGCTCGAGTAACTCATCCTCGTCCTTACCGAGTCTGGTTTGAATAGAAACCAAACAGTCCAAAGCCTCACCTGCCATGCATAATATATGATAACAAATAGTTTAAGAATTTGGTTAATAATGCACTCATCAGAGAGATGCAGCTTCATTGAATTGTCTGAATAACGATTATTTTGATCACAGGCGAAAATATTTGTACTTACCAACAGGGAGAGAATCTTGTCCGAATGCCTTCTCCCGGATGCGCAAAACATCGAGGGCGAGTTTCTCTGCTTCTTCATCTTGTTTCAAATGGTAGAGTGTAACTGTGAGGTGCAACATGGGAAAGCTGATGGACTGGTCATCAGTTCCCTTTTGTGTTATCATCATTTGTAAAACTCTTCTCAGCAAGCGCTCGGCCTCGACATAATTCTTTGATTGTGAATATGAAGTTGCGAGATTTATCATGTTTGTTAATAAGCTGGGGTGCTCCTTTCCTTTGAACTTCTCAGTGATCAATAAGCACTCCTCCAATAGCTCTCTGCCTTCTTGTCCTCTAAAAGCAACAAAAACCAGAATGAGTGTCAACTTTCCATAGGCACAAAGCTTTGGTTCAAAAAACTAGTTTCTTATTCTTAACCTTCATTCAATTATGATTTCTTTCTTATTTTATTGGCATACGGGGCGGTACAGAAAAATCATCAGGTTATGAAAAGATGCAAAAGAAATACAAAATTTACTTTGAATAGGCTGACTTTATTCTCAAAAGCCTAAAAATACTTAACTCTTTGATTCCAAATTCTGAGGTTATCGAAAAGCTTACCTCCCAACATTATGGAGTAACTCAGCTAGATCAACCCTCATCTTTTCCATTATATTGTCATCCAATGACATGTATTTTGAATCTGACATGACCTTAAGTGCACGTTTATACAAATTAATTGCTTCATCCGACTTCCCTGCAGAATATATCACATCAACCGATGCTTAAATTTCATATAGCAAAAAGTTAAGGGAAGAAGAAATCAATGCATGTACTTGTAAACCATCTTAAAAAATGGCATAACTGCAATGATTTCCATACAAGACTTAACACCAAATAAACAGTTTCTGCAGGTATAGATATGTTTTCCATCGTCCTTCTGTATGATACAAGACGTACCATGCATTAAAGAACTTCTAAGGGTGGTAGAAAAGAGAAAAGGAATTTGTAAACAGCAAAGAAATTGCATAAGTAAAAATGTAGCGTTACCTTGAGCGCACTTCACTCGGGCTAGAGAACTCATGGGCATTCCAATTCTTCCATCATTTTGTCCATATAACTTCATATAAATGTTAAGCACCCTAGGAAACAAAAACAAATAAAAGTAAATATACAAGAAATGAGAGCCACTAAAACACTGAATAGGTAAGGGGGAATACAAAAAATAGGAAGCTTAACCTAGTAAAATGAGTTTCTGCATCGTCGACTCTTGCTTCTTTCAGTAAAAGATTGCCAAGACCAAGTAAAGGTACAACCAAGTCCTTACTTTCAGCACCTCTCTCTGATTCTAAAAGATTAATGGCGCGCTGGTATTTCTCTATTGCTTTTGTTGCGTTTCCCATAGAACCAAGAGCTTTTGCCATAGCCAGATAGGGCGTGACAAGAAAACTGCTATCCTTGCCTTAAAGGAGGAATTACAATGAGAAAACCAGAATTTTGAAAAATGGAACAGAAATTAAAAGCTAAGTTGGCTTCACCATAGGTCATTTCTGCTAAGGTATCTTTAGATGAAACAGTGTTTAACATAGCTTCTAACTAGATACGTGTGAAGAGAAAAATGACAAGAAAATAGCTCCAGTTTTTCTTCAAACAGATTAGAAGCCCAACATAACCATAACCACTTTTCAAATGGTTGAGTTTTTGATAAAATTAGCAAATAACACTAACATTACTAGTTGAGCAATGACTCACCACAGGTCCTCTCCATAATGTAGACAGCCCTTTGATATGTTTCCAATGATTTTCCAAATTTGCTCAACGTCGCATACATACTTCCCATATGCATAAGTATTGAATCCAGACGTGGTGCATCATCCTCCAAATTGTCAACAACTTCTTTCATCTGGCCATTAATGAAAATATAAGAATGGAATACCTTGTAGAAAAGGGAGTGAGGGGCTACTAAATTTTAGAGGGAACAACAGCAGAAAAAGGTGTACACATGTATGCCTTTAGCAATAGAAATATGATTCCAACAGAAATGTGGTACACCTTATCATCTAAGATCATAAGTTCGGTAATTAGGTCTATACATATTAAGACAATTATGAGGCAAACTAGTTCTTCATAAGGTTATCAAATATGTCATTCAGATGGAAAGTTAGCAACCATAAAGGAGGAAACACTCAGCCTCACATCCAAGAAAACAAGCCTGCCCATAGTGATGAAAAATACTTTTCATGCATATATTTGTGAAAATTCATTCATTCAGCCCTCAGAAACAATTATAAATTTGATAACAATAAACAATTGACTCTCGTTTACTCTTATTCCAGTTAAATTTGATAGAATATTAATGCTCACACTTACAAGTGGTATGGATTCTGAGA